TTTTCCAGAATAGAGCTGCGCCTTTACAGCTGGTATCTGCTAAAAACATCTGTTTTGGTTCTGATTATCATGTTTATCGCGCTGAAATCATGCGTTTTAAACCATATGAGTTTAAACTTCTGATATAAGGTTTTCCGAGCGCACACATCCGAAGCACATGGACAGAAAGCTGCTATCACAGCATGTGAGTACTATGTTTAAGTTAAAAACACACGAGTTACAAAAACAGTCGGTTATGTCTGTGAAGGTAAACAGCTGGGAAATAAATCGCTTGTTTATTTTAGATCTGTGTGGCAGCAGCAATATACAGTAAATAAATCAATAAATCCACTGCTCTCTTGTCTCCTCTGAGGCTGGGACCCTAAATATTGTTCTGTGCTCGTCTGTGCAGCCAAAGACAGAACAGTTAGCATGTTTTGCTCAAACTTTCGCCATGGCATTACACCGTTGTCGCTTGTGAAATCAAAATGACGGCGCCTTGGGTGTAAACTTACAGATTAAGGGGCGGTAATATTATAACGAGATCCCTTTGCCACGTCACCTAGGGAGCGAAATCAGACACGCTCGTTTTCTCAGAGGCTTGCAGAAAAAGGCTTATCAAAACAAAGTGATTGGATAAATCTTTTTCACGTTTCCTTGGTTGGTAGATGCACCAGGGACCTGATTATAGCACTTAAAACCTGGAAAAGTCTGATTTTCATGACATGTCACCTTTAAGACTTTTTATGTCTCTTATGCTCAACAAGACTGCATTTATTTTAAGATAACCACAGTAAAAACAGTAATATTGTGAAATATTATTAAAATTGATTTAAAATTCCTGTGAGAATTATTTTTCAGCATTATTACTCTAGTCTTCAGTGTCACATGATCCTTCAGAAATTATACTAATAGCTGATTTGGTGCTTGAGAAACATTTCTTATGACCAATTTTGAAAATTTGTGTTGCTTAATATTTTTGTGAAAACTGTGATGCATTTTATCAGGGTTCTTTGAATAATAGAAAATTTAAAAGAGCAGCATTTATTTGAAATAGATATCTTTTTTTTTTTTTTTTAACATTGTAATCATCATTATTGTCACTTTTGATAAATTTAATGCATCTTTACTTTAATCCAGCAATTTATTTAAAAAAAAAAAACTTTAAATGTTTTAATAAAAAAAAGCCAGTTCTCCTAAAGTGTATTTCATCACATTAATCATGAACATGTTACATGTTAGACTAATGTTTGACATCCACTGTATCTAAATACATTTATGAACAGTATATCTATATCAGTATAATGTTTTATCATTTAAAACCTAACAAACTTCTTTAAAATTTTGCTGTGTGCTTATGCTGTCTGTGTAAAGTGTTTAAATACTATTAAGCCACATTACTAGACACATTACTAGTAATAAGACACATATATTACTGTCTTGAATGGCTTTTCAAACTCAAGCCCCTATCAACTGGAATATTTAGATGTCAAATGCCAGATGAACCTCCAAGCTAATATGTGAAATACTTTAGGCTTCCTACCAACACCCCTGAAACATGAGACAGATTACAGTAGAAAAGTCAAAGAGGTTGATGTAAACCATTTGTAGAATTTTAGTACTCCTGTATTGTTTTGCATTAACTCTTTCTTTCTGTCTGTCTAGATGTTTCTGCACAGGAACAACCAGAGCTTTTCCTCAAGAAACTGCAGCAGTGCTGTACTCTGTTTGACTTCATGGAAACACTGTCTGACCTCAAAATGAAAGAGTATAAACGCTCCACCCTTAATGAGCTGGTGGACTACGTCACCCTCAGCCGGGGCTACCTGACTGAGCAGACCTACCCTGAGGTGGTCAAAATGGTGAGATTTAAAGATTAGTAGCGCACACTGTGATTGGAAGTTTTCTGTGATTGTCTAGTTTATATGCCTATATAATTAAGAGAAACCTCAAGTGTTGCCTCTTTTCATTTCTCACAGGTGTCCTGCAATATTTTTCGGACTCTTCCGCCTAGTGACAGTAATGAATTTGACCCAGAGGAAGACGAGCCCACGCTGGAGGCCTCATGGCCACACTTACAGGTAGAGAGCCATTGTCAGCATCAAATTAAATAAGAATTAATCAGCATTTTAAAATTTAATGCGTGTAAAAACAGACAAAGGTCAATCAAACATGTTAAAAAATCAAACAATATGGGCTTTAAAGGGGTCATATGATGCGATTTCAATTTTTCCTTTCTCTTTGGAGTGTTACAAGCTCTTGGTGCATAAAGAAGATCTGTAAAGTTGCAAAGACTAAAGTCTCAAATCCAAAGAGAGATTCTTTATAAAAGTTAAGAGTCAGCCACACCTACCTAAAACGGCTGACTCTTAACTTTTATAAAGAATATCTCTTTGGATTTGAGACTTTAGTCTTTGCAACTTTACAGATCTTCTTTATGCACCAAGAGCTTGTAACACTCCAAAGAGAAAGGAAAAATTTAAATCGCATCATATGACCCCTTTAAACACTCTTAGTCTAAAGATATTTTGAGGGGGAAAAAAAAGTGTCATTACATTTCTCTCTCATTCTATCTCCTTTCAACAGTTGGCAGCCCATAATGAAGTTCATCAATGACCAGTATGAGCAGTACTTGCAGGAGGGGCGTAACATTTCCATCACATGCTTGAGGTATTTGGCCAATCACAATGCACTGTATAGCTGGCCAATCACAGCACACCTCGCTTTTTCAGACCGATGAGCTTTGTAAAAATCTACGCGTTTCAGAAAGGCGGAGCATAGAGTAGAAACAATAATGTACAGTATGTGGAAAATAATGTGTTTTTTTAACCTTAAACCGCATTAACACATTTCATTACACCAAATACACAAAATACTGTTTTTTTTGCAGCATCATATGACCCCTTTAAAAAGTCTTACAGTTGAGATAATTGCAAGGTTTCATTTCAAGGACAAGTTTTCTGATATCTCTCTTCTTTTTCCGCTTAAGCTCATTTATGAGTTCTTCATTCGCTTCTTGGAAAGTCAGGAATTTCAGCCCAGCGTTGCCAAAAAATACATTGACCAGAAATTTGTATTACAGGTGAGTGATTGTCTGTGAAATGTTCTTTGACTTCTCATCCTAGCATGAATCAAATGAAGCCAGTATTGCCAGTAAAACAGTACAGATATAGTTGTCTGAATACTTCAGTTGTGGCATTTTGCTGTCAAATATTTTTTGCATAATTACCACTAAACTGTACATTTGAGTTTGTCAATGATTACCAGTTCCCTACAGTGTTTAAAAAAAAAATATTTTTTTTTATTTTAGTAGCTATGTAATAAGAAAGGTAATAAAGCGGTACACATTGCTCATATAGTTAATAAAACTCCTCTTCTGAATTTCTAGCTCTTGGAGCTGTTTGATAGCGAGGACCCACGGGAGAGGGACTGCCTGAAGACAGTTCTGCACAGAATCTATGGCAAGTTCCTTGGCCTCAGGGCCTTCATCCGCAAACAGATCAACAACATTTTTCTTTGGTAAGTAACTGTCAAGTGTTTTAGTCGTGTATATACAAAATTAAATATTAAGGGGTGCTGATATAGCTCTTTTTCCTCTCCTGCTCTGACAGTTTTGTATATGAGACCGAGCACTTCAATGGCGTAGCTGAACTGCTGGAGATTTTGGGAAGGTATGTCATATTTTAGGACCCATTCTTTGGTTGGCAGTGATATGGAGAAATTTAAACCAAGAAATAGAAAGTTTGGAAAGACATGAAGGGTGACCCACAGAGGTCACATTCCTGTTTTATTTTACTCCACCCTGTCTTCAGTCCTGAGGCATCCAGAAGTCTGAGTCTACTGCATATTATCAATGTCAGAACAGAAGTGAAGTCTCACACGTCTCTGGTTTTACAGCATCATCAATGGTTTTGCGCTTCCTCTCAAAGCTGAGCACAAACAATTCCTGGTGAAAGTGCTGCTGCCTCTGCACACAGTGAGGAGCTTGTCTCTCTTCCATGCCCAGGTACAGACACTCAGCTGTTTGTTACATCTACACATGTCTGTGCTTGCCTGTCTGAATTTCAGGGGCAGAAGAAACAGATTCATGTTTCCATGCTCGTTTATGACAGTTTATGAATCTAAACATTTGAAATGCATTTGTTAATCTGAAGTCATCTCTTGTAGCTGGCCTATTGTATTGTACAGTTCCTAGAGAAAGATCCCACGTTAACAGAACCTGTAAGTGTTCCTTGTCACCATTATCTTCCTCATTCTTCATCAAGTTCCATCTTGTTTCAGCTTGTTTCTAAAGGATTTTCACTAGTTGGCTTTTTTTTTTGTAGGTGATCGGAGGCTTGTTGAAGTTTTGGCCAAAAACATGCAGTCAGAAAGAGGTAATGCCTTCATTTTATGGAATTATTACCTGCAAGTTGTTAATCCATTGTCCATTTTTTTGTGATTTGCTCTCAGAAGGAAACTCTTTAATTGTTGCAACTTCTACCAAAACAATGTATCTTAGCAAGTGATTTCTTCAACTAAATTCAGATTTTTTTTTTCAAGAGAATTGCTTAACATGCTTTTCCTAAATGTTTTTTTTAAACCTTGACTACATTGTTTTCTTTTGTAGGTTATGTTTCTTGGAGAGTTGGAGGAGATTCTAGATGTGATTGAGCCCACTCAGTTTGTTAAGATCCAAGAACTGCTCTTTAAACAGATTGCTAGATGTGTGTCCAGCCCCCATTTTCAGGTAAACACACCACACCCTAAATCCTCCTTACAAACCTTGTAATATCTTGTAATAGCTAGTAACTTAAATATGAATATTTTCGAAAACAAGTTCCCATCATTGCAGTGTCACAGGTTGTCAATTTTCTATTCACTAGTGAGAGAAACCATGCTCCATATTTGCTCACATTACCAGTAGTGGTCGACCGATATATCGGTTTTGCCGATTAATCGGCACCGATAGTTGATTGCTAGAACTATTGGCAAAAATCCATACCGATAGTTTTTACCGGGTTGCGTCCATTGCTGGAGCAGCTGAGAAGGTCCGTTGTCATTATACAGTACGAGAGTGGCCTGTGGAGGCGGAATAACTGATGCCTCGTGCTGTTTGTTTTGACGCGTGAGGCTGCGCGCTGCACAGAGCGCGACACTTCAGATGACGATTTAAAGCATCGACAACAAAACCGTACGTATACAGTTAACTACAGTACATATTTTCATATCATTATAAAGTAATTAATTTGTTGGCTTGATGCTGCATCAGTAAAGAAAAAACAACAGTATGTTTGCTGTTATGGCTGAAAGGATGCTAACATTAGCAGTATCTCAAACAATGTGACCAAACAAACGCAAGTTCAATCCAAATGTTTAATGTCACGTTTGCTACCATCTATTTGCATTAGCTTATGTCCATATTTAAAGTTAGTGATGTGAGAAAGCACATTGTTCATGCAGCCAACAGAAATCCTGCCACCCCACAGAGCTCCACTCACAGTTTTCCATTAAATTACATTATACAGTGGTGTGAAAAAGTGTTGGCCCCCTTCCTGACTTGTGTTATCTTTGACTAATATTTAAATTTGTTTGATGATCTGAAACATTAAAGTGTGACAAACATGCAAAAAAAATAAGAAATCAAGAAGGGGGCCAACACTTTTTCACACCACTGTATTTGTCCCAAATCATTGCAACTGTGCACAATGATATCACCGTAGGTTGGAAGATTGTGTATTGTGCATTTTTCAGTGAAACGTTTGTCACGCTTTCTCTTTCCGTTTTGCTAAATTTTTTCAAACACCAAACTTCAAACTCATCAACTCCACTTTGTTCATTCCTGAAATTTTGCCTGTTGGGTGATTGAATAAACTGGTTTAGACCACTGCTTGAATTAAACGCGACGTGTCCGGTGTGTGATGACTGTGAGTTGTTCTAGACGAGACGCAGTGCTGCGCTTTTTGTCCGGTGCACGAATGCCATGTTTTGTTATTTTGATTAGATAATCATTACGTTTTCTAAAATAGAAGCAAATAAAGTGTGAGTATACAGACAATATACATATGCATGTAATTTCAATGGCCTTTGCATAGATATTTTAAGATGGCCATCTTTAAGTATGTCTGTTTATATTTTTATGAAATGGTAAGCTGTAGAAGTATTGTTCGTTGTCAGTGTTAATTTCAACATTTACTAATTTTTTAAATATTAAAGTTGTATCTGTTAACTTTAGTTAATGAACTATGAACTAACATTAATGATCAATGTATAATTCATATTTAATATAAATATTTTTATTCTATTTAAAAACTATTGTTCAGTACTGCTTTTAATTAATTAATTAATTAATTTATTTTTGTAGTAAAGTTCAGCACTATTATATTTTTCATTCAGTATCTTAAAAAAATCTATCGGTTGATTATCGGTTATCGGCCACTGTGGTCAAACCTTGCTATCGGTAAAATCCACTATCAGTCTACTTCTAATTACCAGTTCTCTGTAAAGATCAGTAAGCATGTTTGATCATTAATATCACAAAATTCTGGGCATAAGATCTATTAAATAAAAAAACGAGGAAAAAAATTTGCTCCAGCAACATCGAGTCTGCTTTCACTATTAAGTGTGCAAGTGAAAGCTTCAGGTTCTGCAGTCTAAAATCCCTGTGCAGAACACTACTGACATTAAAATATTTAAAATGTTTTAAATGGAGGTTGTATATTGTTTCAGGTGGCAGAACGAGCTTTGTACTACTGGAATAATGAGTATATCATGAGTCTGATTGAGGAGAACTCTAGTGTAATCCTGCCTATCATGTTTGCCAGTCTCTACAGGATCTCCAAAGAGCACTGGAACCCGTAAGTTTCATATTTATTTATGTATTATTTTTTCTTTTCATAAAAAAAAATAAGTCTTTAGTGTCACCTGATCCTTCAGAGATCATTCTAATATGCTGATTTGCTGCTCAATAAACATTATTATTATTGTTAACCTCAATCTCCTGTAGCACATGCAGATATACATATCATTATACACATACAATTCATGAAAACAACATGCGCACACACACACACAAAAGTAAAAACATTATCAATGTTGAAAATCAATGTTTGTATGTTGCTCTTTTTTTCAGGATACTTTGAATAGAAAGTTCAAAGGAAAGGCATTTATTTGAAATGGAAATCTTTTGTGACATTATAAGTGTCTTTAATGTCATTTTTGAATAATTTAATATAGCCTTCCTGAATAAAATTAATTTCTTAAAAAAAAAAAAAAAGAGCGCCCAAACATGTGATTTGATCAGAAGGTCTGAACATTAACAAGATTGATATACTTGTAAATGGTATTGTTGTCTCTTTGCGCGCATTCCTGCACTTTTGACGAAGTGGTATTATGTTCATCATGTCTTAAAAAAAAAAAAAAAAAAGAGCCCAAACATGTGATTTGATCAGAAGGTCTGAACATTAGCAAGATTGATATACTTGTAAATGGTATTGTTGTCTCTTTGCGCGCATTCCTGCACTTTTGACGAAGTGGTATTATGTTCATCATGTCTGCTTTTCTCCACCATCAGGGCAATATCAGCTTTGATCTACAATGTGCTCAAAGCATTCATGGAGATGAACAGCGCCTTGTTTGACGAACTTGCCGCCAATTACAAATCAGACAGGCAAAGGTAAGAAACAGACAATTAACGGTATTGTTGTGAACTCCTGCAGTTTACAAAGCGCTCAGATAACTTCTATTTTATTGGTTTAGGGAAAGGAAGAAGGACAAGGAGCGAGAGGACCTATGGAGGAAGCTGGAGGAGCTGGAGCTCAGACGAGGCGTCCAGAACAGCGACGGTGTCATTCCCACCTAACACGGACCTCGTGTCTGCCCTTCTGTGTGGCCCCAACCCCAATCCCTTTCTACTCTGCCACAGGGACCCCGTCCCCCTATTTGCTTCTCATGCTGCGTACTTTACCACACACTCCCTCGTTCATTTCCTCCCTTTCAACAGCACTGTAAATAATCCTCTCCCTCTTTCCTGTATCATACTACTACACTGAAAGGAAGAAGGAAAAAAAAACTGAAAATTTGAAGAGACTTAATATGCACTCCTCGGTGTAAAAAAAATGGTAAAATGATAATCAACTGTGGTCAAAGGATATATTTAAGAAAAAACCTTTCAGTTCAGAAATTGTTCAGCGTCTCCATGTCAATATATTGTTCTCAAGGAAGTGCCCTGAGACTTAGAGAACTGTGCTCACCCTGCGATTAAAGATGTCTTATGCGAAGATCCCATCACCACCACATATCTTTTTTCTTTTTTTTTGTCTCTTATGAAGAGAGACTTTTCCATCTAGACATAATTTGACTCCCCTGACTCAGGGGACACAAACCAGAAACCCATGACGTGAATATAAGGAAAACAGTGGAGAAAAAAAAAACATTAAACATCCTCTCTGTGGTGTGTATTTTTTTCTTTTACAGGATGATCGGCCCGGTACTTTACTGTAAAGTATGGACAGGTGTCCATAACTTAATCTGCGAAATGGGCCGCAGTTGGCTACGGTGGTATACTTCGCTCAATAAAGAGGACAAACCTCTCTGAGGACCTTTATTTTTTTAACTTGTGAACTAGATAATGATCTGGTCATAGTTTCATGCTGTCTGCTGTGGAGACTCTTGGGAATTCCAATTTCTTGTGGAAATTCAGTAGTTACCAAGAGTACGTCAAGCTCGGTTTCTCCGACACTAGCAAGGACTCGTGGAATTTCAGTGGCACACAGTGTTCAGAGCTCATCCAGTGTTTTTAAAACCGTTAAGTGACATATATTTTTCGTAAAGAACATTCTAGACAGCTTCTCATGTCCACCCAGATTTCCACTGCTTTTTCTATTCGTTTTGATTTCAGGGTGGGTGGATGTCATCTACATGACTGAGCTGAGCGAGACAAGTTTTTTTCTTTCTTTTCATGGAGTGTTTGAAATGAAATCCTGCTTATGTTGGGGTTTTAAGGGCCTATGTAGGTAAACGCTGATCCGGTAGGTCATAATATCTCTTCTGAAATACCAGCCGCCAGGGCAGACTAGAACTAAAAAGCACTTCGAGATATAGCTCATAAGTTGTTCTCGTGGGACTTCAGCCCCCTTTTTTCTCTTCTTTTATTTGAAGTCCCAACAGTCGTGGTTGTGGATTTTACATGTGAGGAGGATGTATTTTATTATATTTTATTTTTTGGGCTTAATCACTCTCTCTCTCTCTCTTCCTTGTTTTAACTCTCCCAAAGCTCATTGTGTGTTTTATGATGGCCCAAGTTTGACATGTAAAAAAAATTCAAAAGAAAGGGTTTGATGAATAGAATAAATCTAATTATTTTAAAAAAAGAAAAAGATATTAAATCTGTTTTTTTTTTGTGATAAACTGCTTGCTTGGTTTCTTTTTCTTGTTTTTGTAAGTTCAGTGTAATATTTTTTTGACTTCGAAGTGTTTGACAAGAAATGGGAAATTTAAGTGTCTTTATATCTATTATTATTAGAGCATACAAATACATTTTGATCTGATCAGTAATTCTTGCTTTACGGCGGATCGTAGACTTAAAAGTGCATTACCGCCACCTATCTCTCAAGTGGACTATTGACACTCTATCTACAATCTCAATTAGGAGTGTCAATGAGGGTATCTCCTCATCCACCACCAGTGTGCAGCATCCACCTGGATTTACTCACCCTTATGTCATTCCAAACCTGTATGAATCTCTTCTGTTGAACACAAAAGAAGATATTTGGGGTAATCAAACAGTTGATGGTAGCACCTGATTTCCATAGTATGGAAAAAAAATACTATGAATGGCTACTCTCAACTGTTTGATTACCCAAAAGATCTGTGTTTAAAAGAAGACGGAAATTCATACAGGTTTGGAATGACATTGAGGGTGAGTAAATGTTTACAGAAATGATGACAGTATTTTCATTTTTGGGTGTTAAAGACAAAGTCAAGCTTGACTAAAGAAACTGTACACAATGTATGTATACATTAAACAATCTTGATAGATTTGTCCGATGTGAGGGACCCCTTTTATAATTGTAATGCTTTCATCTTGCACTGGTGGCTAAGCTCAATCTATGAAGGCCAGTGAATTACACTACGATGACCAGACATCCCGGTTTTTGGTGTCCTGTCCCGCGTTTTACAGCCCGTTCAAAACAGCCCACAAATCCACTGCAAGTCTGCAACAAAGCCTGACACTGCTGGCTACCAGAGCAAACGTGTAGTGATTATTTTCACCAACAGAGGGCGCTGAAAGCTACACTGATTACTTTGTCTCGCGCCACTTCTTCAGCCATGAAGTACTCAAAGTAGTCACATACAAACTATTTATGGTGAACTAAATAAATACTGTTTGTATGTAATAAGAGGTGTATTTATGTAACAGGGTGGGAAATGGTTTTGCACACAATTTTAAAAGTTACCCAAAGGTCCACAGTCCTGAAGACCAGAGATGTTCTTATGAGGGGGAGATGCCCACCGCAGGTCAGTTCAGATTACGCAGGGGTCTCCAAACTCGGTCCTGGAGGTCAGGTGCGGTGCAGAGATTTGTTCCAACCCTGCTCCAACACACATACCATGTAGTTTTCAAATAACCCTGAAGGACTTGATTAGTTGGATTAGGTGCGTTTATTAGGCTTGAATAAACTGCAGGGCTCCAGCCCTCCAAGAATTGAGTTTTTTTTACCCCTGTACTAGGCATACTAGAAACTCCAGACAGGTGTGTTGCGGCAAGTTGGAGTCTATTTTTATTTGAATGTGCAAGACTTCAGATAAATAACGAAGAATAACAAATTGCAGTAAACGGTTAAATTATTTGCGCTACAAACCAGTGTGTTTATGATTTTGATAATAAATGAAAATAATACAATAACAATCATAAATCAGCACAACGGACTGTTTTGTACAGGTAAAATAACTAGAAGCGGGTGTCACCGCCCGGAAGCCTCTCAAATCCGTGTATCATTCGTTAAATCGTGTTTTGATTTAATATTGAAAGATGAAAAATGAGAAAACGGCTCCTTTTTCGTTTTTTCATTTAAAACAAAAAAAGAATTCAGCTTGATTTTTCATTCAGTGGTGGACAAATGAATAAACAGCTTGACGTAATTGTAAAACTAGGTGAATCCAAAACGAATAGGCTATTTAATGGAAAACATGTTGAATATTAGCCTATAGGATGTTGCTTTACAAAAGAAGCTTCTCCTCCACTGACGTTCATTTCAAAATTGGACAAACTTGTGAGCACTACGAATGAATATTTCAAAGACAATTCTAAAGTTTTATCAAGCTTTAATCACGCTGTATATTTACAACACATTTTTAGTTTTGGCAAAGAAAACTGTCATGATTCTTAAGCATATAAATCAATACATGAAATTCAAAGGGGAAAAAAAACATTAAAAATGTTAAATATAAGTTTACAATTGAGTTCAAGACTGAGTTCAAGTTATAGCTCTTTCAACCAGTGACTGAAAACTGGTCTTCTTATTAGCATTACAGTATATAAACAATTGCATAGGACAATGCAAGGCACAGTGCCGTAAGTGCACTTAAACTGAGTGAAGAATCAAACTCTATGCTACATTAAAGCAAGTGAATGGCGGCTCATTCTTCCTCTCTGTGGAGCAGGCTTGATTCCTCAGCCCGAGGATGGTCGCTAGCACCTTGCGGGCTCCGGAAAGAAGTCCCTGAGGTCAAACTAAGGAACGACTGATGTGAAGAGCAATCAGAAGTAATCAGTACCAGTTCTGGTGTCCAATAACATGGTCGTCTGAGAACTACAAGTACTCACAGGACAGCTTTTGGTAAGTGAATATGAATGCTTGAACTGCAAGTTTTCAGTTGCTTTGGCAGATGGTTAACCTACACATTTTTCAACACATGTCCAAATCAAAAATGCAAGGGCTACACATAATATTGTCCATATTAATTGACACTTGTACAAAAAACACAGTAGGGAACCATTGTTGTTTTGAAAAGGCCACATATTTAACTGCGCCATGATCAGCGGTGCAGTTTACAGCATGACCACACTACATGCCTGAGGAAAAAAACAAGTCTGAAGAACAAAGCCATTTGTGTTTGAGCTGATCTTCAAAGGGGAAAACAAGGGGGTGGCTTCAGAATAGAGCAGTTAGACAATGTATAAGCCTGGTCCTCAGTAAACACATGAGTACTTCAGCTGAAATAGAGAGTGATAGGGTGATAGTGATTTTTTTTTTTTTCACAGTATTGGATCATGTGGAGGAATATGAGTGCCACAAAAACAATAATGATAAAAGATATATAAATTAAAATGCCAATATAAAGGGAAATCACTTTTTACTTTAAAAAAGTAGACCTTTGACATTTAATTCATGTTTAAAATGAAACTAAAATCATACAACAATACAGTGCTGCAGAGATGTATTTTTGTAGGCAAATGTTGCTGGGTTTTTGTTTAAATGTCTACAATAAGGTCTGTTATGAACACAAGCTCAAGATATTTTCCTGTTTTATTCTACGACATAAAATACACCAGTAATACCCCTTGTGACATTTTTAAAGCTTTTACTTGTCTTGAAAAAGGCAGTTGCTAACAAGTGGCTAAATGAGACTACAGAGGTTTTCGGGGACATTAAACACCATCACGCCAAACAGGAAAACATGTCTACTCACTAGTCTGCTTTTACAGCCTCAGTGTGTTTAAAATCACGCTTTTGGAAACGACTCTAACTCAAACTTTCAGGGAAAATGTCACAGCTGTAAATTTCCATGAGGAGGTTTGGCGTCACGACGGTTTTGTTTCCAGGTGCACCATAAAGAACGCGACACACACGTCTCCCAGAAATCTTGTAGAATTAAACTAATCACATGACGACTTAAAAAACTCCCAAAGTGTTTCCCATTTTGTGTGCCTTATTCATCAGACATTCAGCCAACGTTCCATGGACGTGATGTCTGAGGCTGAAACTAAAGTAATGCTAACTTCCAGGTTGCTCTGTAACTGTTTTAAATTGCATTTTAAAATTGCAGCTGGCAAATGGATTAAGAAAAGCGGTGCTTCATGAAAATACAGTTTAAATATTGCATTTAAAATGATTTATTAATATTTAATTTGTTACATTTAACTACATTTTTAACA